TGAAGAAATAAAAAACTGAAAATGAATAAATAAAAAGTAATAAGGGCCTATAATCTTTTTCTTTCATGAGCCGCTGCTCTGCACTACACGGTAACTAGAACTGCACCAGATTTTTGCCCAATGATGTTCTGGGCAACCTCAAAAAACGATTAAGGCAGAAACCATGTGTCAGAAGCTGCTGGTGTCTGTGTGTGCCTGCCTCATGTCATGAACCTTTTAAACCAGTGTTTCCCAAACTTGGGTCTCCAGCTGATTTCAGACTACAATTCCCATCATCCCTGAACATTGGCCCTGCTAGCAAGAGATGGTGGTAGTTGTAGGCCAACAGCAGCTGGAGACCCAAGTTTAGAAAACCCTGATTTAAACTGTAGGTGGCCGCCTTCTTAGCAAACAACCTTCTAGACCAATTTTGCCTACCCATTGAAAGTTTTGTTGCATGAACAAGAGAACAAATGACTTCTTTTTTTGGCTGAGCCTTGCTTTAACAAGTTCTTCCTATCCTCTGGCATGCCTCTTGGCTCCAATTCCTTGTTTGTCCTCTGGTCCTGTTTATTCTTTGGTCTTGACTCCCAGCTTTTTTCTTGATCCTGCACTGTAATTCGTCCTTCAGTCCTGCCTTGCTCATCAGTTCCAAATATTTGCCTGTCTAGTGGCTCCTGGTTCCCAGTTCCAGACTCACCTCAAAGTGCTTGCTGTCCTCAGCACAGCCCAAACACCATGTCACTTCAAGTACATGTCAAGGGGGTCTCAGTTCATGAAGCTCCCAATGATTGCCAGAGGGAATGGAGAGCCAAGATTTTTGATACAAATTCAATTTTTTATTACTTAATAAAAGATCATAACCAGTCATTCAACAGTACAATAAAAACAGCTTAATATAGGATTAAAATATATTAAAGCATAAATATCATAATCCATTACAATCGAAAACCTTTATGAAGCACTGAGTTATAAAATCCTGGGATATAATTTATTCTTTAAATCAAGTTTACTCTGAAACAATCGGAGTATTATTTGACTTTCATTTACAGTAAAATATTTTCATGTATGTATACTAAATATATCTATACTACAGCAGTGCTGTAAAACGACTGTAGAGTCCAATACAAGTTGTCAGTGGCATATATCAATATTTATTCTCTTTTCAAACCACAGTTTCTATCTCATTTTCCATATATATCTTTCTTGCTGAACATCACTATTTAGTAGATATTTAGTCAAGGATTTCATAGATATCCACATCTCTTTTCTTAAGTTTGTTTGTAATAAAATGTTGCTACTGGCATAGTCAACATGGAGCTCATTTCACGGGACAAGACTAAATTTCTGAGCATCTGGTCTTCATTATATACTAATGGGCTGTCTGTTAAGGATATTGTAAAGCAATTAATTGACAGAAAGCACATCCTTCCCCACAGGAAGCACACAAATGGCAAAACATATTATTATAGATCCCCTTTTATCAGATAAAGACATTCTGTGGCATACAGTAGGGAAACCAATGCTTTGCAGATGACTCCATGTAAGTGTTCTAAGAGGGCTTCAGTATCCAGAACATACATCTCCACATGTACCAAAAGAAAGTGGAGATGGAAGCCATTCATATAGGACACAACCACGCCACAAAGGAGTGGCTTGGTGAATCCATATAATCATAGAATTGTAGGGTTGGAAGGGATCCCAAGAGTCATCTAGTCCAACCCCCTGCAATGCAAGAGTCTCAACTAGATAATACATGGCAAATGGTAATGAAACCTCTGCTTTAAATTCTCCAAGGAAGAAGAGTCTCTCACCTCTCATGGGAGTCCATTCCACAGTTAAAACAGTGCTTACTGTCAGAAAGTACTTCCTGATGTTTAATCAGAACCTCCTTTCTTGTAACTTGAATCCATTGGTTTGAGTCCTACCCTCTGGACAAGCTTGCTCCAACCTCCATGTGAAAGTCCTTTAGATATTTGAAGATGGCTATCATATGTCTTCTCACAGTCTCCTCTTTACCAGGCTAAACACACGTAATTCCCTCAATAATTCCTCATAAGGCTCGACTTCCAGATTCTATCACACACTGCAACCTACTGCATTGGTTACAATAGAATGCTTCTTCCAAACCTAATCCCGGTAGGTTGAGCAGCAACTTCCACACTATGGATACCAGGGAAGGCCTGAAGACACAGGTGCCCTCACAGGGGCCACACTAGAATCTCCCAGGGATAAGAGATCTAGCCACCTCAGGATAACAAAAAGCCTATTACATATACGGGATTTATGGAATACTGAAGGAAGCAAGTAATAGGAGGAATATGTCCAGCAAGGAAAACTTGGAAGGAGAATTTAAGCTCACCATACAATACATTCAGTATTTGAATATATTGTAGTATTAGTCATATAGATTTTTTTCTGCTGTACTTTTTCATAATTTAGGCAGCTATCCTGTAACTACTTACCTGGGATAGAGCACTGAGCTCAGATTTACATCAAAACACAGAATTGCAAATGTACAAATATGATTTCAATGTATCTTTTTTGTTTTTACACATATTGTAATGTGTCTTAAATACTCTACTGAGAAAGGAAAGACATAAATAATTTAAATAAAATTTTCCAGTCTCAGCATCTTCTGTCTTGTATAAGAGATATTTCCTCTCGATCTTTCTTTTTGGGTCTGCTGTCACTGAAAAAAGCCTACTTTTCATCAGAAATGGAGCTGCAGAGCAATGGTTTAAGACATTTATAATATAATTTTAACATATGTTTCTCTGATTTCCTTCCCTGCTGCCTACAAAACTTGTCATGTTCCTTTACTCCAAATGTCTCCAAATAAATAGTGGTTGTAATAAATAAATAAGCAGAGGATCACATAGATTAAATTTAATATAAGACAGAAAGAGCTTGGGGAGAGAATGGAAAACACTGTGGGGCTAGATCTTATAGTCTGTGGTTTGGAAGGCAATGTCATAAAGGGAGCAGTCATTACAAATTGCAGAAGTCCAAGCCAGAGAATGCAAATGCATCAGGGGTGCTCCATGACCACAATAAATTACCGTAAGTAAAAACCACTAGAGGGTTGGGTGTGTGAAAATGAAAGCAATATGGATATTCTCTGGTCAATAAATTAATATTTATTGTAGCCTTCCCCAATCTATTCCCCCCTAGATATTATTGGACAACAATTCCCATCAACCCTGACCACTGAGCATGCAGGCTGAGGCTAATGGGACCTGGAGCTCAAAACAGAGAGGAAAAGGCTTAACTATACTTAAACCTTTTTGATGGTGATTCTTGGAGGCCAGAGGAAGTCTGAGCATGTCTGAAATCCCACCCCCCCCTCAGAAGAAAATGGCATGTGCTTCAGTGGCTGCTACCTTTTAATATTTGGGGGTTTCTAAGCTTTCTTATTTCATTTTATCATGCATATAAAACAGAGAGAACAATTTTAACAATGGATGAAAATTAAAAGATGGGGGGGGGACTATAAAATTGGGATGCAGAATGAGAAAAGTTGACCATGGGTTAAAATAACAAAGTCCAAGGAAAGGCTATCAACATTATCAGATTATCAAATATAGTTCCAGATTTGCCATGTTTGTTACAAGGGTTGCCTTGAAAAAAGATGGTTTTGCTTGATATGTCACAAGTACAGTAAGTGGCAAACAATATAAAAAGTGTCTGGAGAGTCTAGTGCTTGCTGAAATTTCAAAATATGTGTGATTTTCTCCATTATAGCTATATTCCACAGTGAGTGGTACCAAGTCTACCTATTAATGTTTTTACCCAGCATCCTTCTGTTGACAAGTACCCTTCAACAGACCCATGCAGAGGTGGGGTGCAGCCACGTACATTTGCCCTGGGCCTCAGAGGGATAAGTCATCGGGGGGGGGATGACAAGGGGCTGCGGGACTTACACTGTCTGGCCCGGACAAGACTCCCACCCCGAGCCTCAGACAAGCTCTGCGCATGCCTGACCTTCATCTATCAGATCTCTAACATTCAAGTCTCTAGCTGGCGTTGACAAAGATAGCAACTCCCATAAGCAATCATTTAACCCAATAAGCTACAGTTCCTAGAACCATTAACAAGCTACAGGACTCTCAACCATTAAAATGGTATGAGTGCTTTAAATGTATGTTGTGGATGTGACCTTAAGGAGCCAATACCAAAGTGCTTAAGTTTTGCTGGATACTCCCAACAGAGAAAGTAAGTATTTGAGCCTCTCTTTTTTGTTTTGTTTTTTGGTCTAATGGAGAATCCAGAAAAACTTAAGCACATTGGTACTGGCTCCTAAAGGTCTGCATTTTACACCGCTGGTTTTTTCCCTAGAGAATTCCACGTCACCATTCTAGACCTCTGTCTCCACCGGTTACAACACAGCCACGAAACACTGAAACAATATTTCAAGTTAATGAATTGCCTTTTGCTCTTGAATTATCTGACATTTGCTCCCCCAGATTCAGTCTCCAATGTAACAGCTTATCATTCTAAATTTGACTGGTTACACAAGAGAGAAATTGTTGCCATTCAATCCAAGTTTGCATGAGGACTAAGATGCAAAGTGTAATTAACGCAGCTCTTAAATAGCCTCAATTAAACACCTGCCTCTCAGTTACACACCATAGGGAAGGCAGATGCTTATCTAATTAACACCACAGCTCTTAGCCGAAGAAATATGGTGTGTGTGTGTGTGTGTGTGTGTGTGTCAGAATAATTTGACTATTCATATGTTTGTTAAGTTCACAACTGCTTACATCCTAAACTTCACTGGAAATAAGCACTGAATTATTCTCTATTGATGTATTTTTAAAGTACTCAATTTTCTACTGCACTATACCAACTTTTATGCTGTTTCCACAGAATGAAAGAATATGCTGAAGTCTATTAGGACAACTATTTTCTGCAATGGAGTTATATACTTGCATAGAATATGAATCTGTGGATTACCTACTATTCTATAATTTGGGAGCATGCAGCATAAAGGGAGAGGAATCAGTCTGGAGACAGCTTACCGAGCTTACTCTTGGAATTCTTTCTGTAACTGAAGCAAAAATGGCCAATTCCTTCTTCTTTTTTCGTGGTTCTTCAGTGGTCTCTTTAACCTGAAATTTGAGTAGGTAGTATTACGTTTGGGTGCAGGGAGGTTACATTATAAAGGGAAGTTTGAACGTGTCACTGCTTTACAGTTTTAGTAAATATTAGTCTGTTGGCAGAATCCCCAGACTCATTTGCACAAATCAGCTGTTCACATACAATGCTAGGCCAAAAATCCTATCTTAACAAGTGATTATATAAGCATGAACTGTATGCAGGTCAGTTGAGCTCCCCTGAATTCACTTCACTCATCCTTTCATGTGAGAGACTCAACATGCCAGGATTCAGCAGCTAACCATAACTTCCTGTTACAAGCATGTTGCTTCAAAACAGGCTAGGGCATGAAGCCATGGTTTGAAAACACCTAAGGGCATATATTTATATGCTGAATCCTGTCATGTTCAGCTGTTTGTACAAGGAAAGACTGAAGCAGCTGCAAAAGAGTTATTTGCGCCCACCTATAGCTTGGGTATATCTTGACTTACTCAAGGCAGGATTTTTGGGTTGGCACTGGTGCCAATACAGCTCTACTTGTCCTGGTCTCTAATACTCCCAAGAAAGATCCCACTAAATATTCACCTCTTTCTAGAACTTTATCATAAAAGCACTTAAGTGTGTGCAATTCTACTAGAATTATATTTTATTCCTACTAGGATATAAATATTTGTTTAAATAAAAATATTAAGGGCACCTTTGTGAGAGTAACTTCACAAGGAGTCATGGGAGTCTTCTCCCTTGCTCAGCATGTCTCCCATAGAGATATTCTATCTCGTTTTACCCCAGCCAGCAAGTTAATACTGGACCAGCAGCATAGCTAGCCAGGGGTGGGGGCATAGGGCAGCATGGCAGGGGAGCTTGAGTTTAGCACTGTGGTTGTTGGGCTTTGGGGGGATGCAGCTACGCAACAACTTTGGTCCACCCCAGGCGCCGGTGGGGATTGCTACGCCGCTGTCCTGGACAGAGTTCTACAAAAAAAATCCCCTGCAAAAATTAAAATTGACAATCCCCTTGGTAGACAGCACACCAGGCCATGCAAAACAGGCAAATATAAGTAATTTAATATTATTGTGATTTATGGTAATTCATTGTAAGTGTTTAAAATTTGTCACCTGACAATTGGCTCTCTGGAGAAACTATATAATCTTACAGAGCTACGAGTTGGATTTTGAAAACTTTTCGCAAAGATTGTGTTATGTAGGAAATGCAAGATACTTTTTAGTTATGCATTTTGTTTTGGATTATTTTTAATAAGCTCATTTTAAAAGCTGACGAACAATATTTGATGACTTTGCCCCAGTAAGAAATGTTAATAGCATATCCAACCCCCTTCTCCCTTCCGCTATCATGAGACCTATCTCTAAATTTATCTATAATAACTTCTAATGATAATATATGTTAGCTATTCAGCTTGATTAAGACCTAAGGGGGGAAAGTATTTGCATCTGAGACATGCTGCGGAAAATTGTCCCTACAACTAGCATATTTGGTAATATGTATTCAGTTCTTCCCCTTATGATTATAATTCTGTTAAATCAGCTGTCAGGGAATGTTAATGGGGCTCTTAGGTAGTCATACTTAATCTGTTTGATAATATGGAGCGAGAGAAAGATCCTATGCTAATTAATTGACACCACTAGAGAAATAGTGTAGGTTTACTATTCTTCTAGTTTGACTGTAGTGTGGAAATGTAAGTTATTTTCTAATAACTAGTTACTTATTTTCTTTGTATTTACAAGATGGTCTATGTCGTTCTTTAAACCACAGTAGAACCTATTTCTTTTATAGAGAGATTTTTCTCATTCAGAAAGGATTATTCACATGTACTTTCCAGAGGGAAAGCAGTCTTGGTTTGCTACAGCAAAAAAGAAAAAGAGTGTGTACTGTTGCACCTTAAAACCTAACAGATTTACTGTGGTGTAATATCCCATGGATTGCAGTCATGAAAGTCTATGAAACCTTATCCCACAATAAACTTGCTAGTTTTTAAGCTGCCACAATATTCTTTTTTGTTTTCCTATATAACTGTAAGCCAGTTCCCCAGCTTCTGTTTGATGAAGCTTGGCTCCTGTGTACTGCACATTTCTGTCTCCCAGTAGGTGCTCAGAGGCAGTAATGCCCAATGCAAAGTCTGGTAATCCTATGAAAATTTACTGGAAAGTTAGATGAAGAAGAAGAAGAGTTTGGATTTGATATCCCGCCTTTCACTCCCCTTCAGGAGTCTCAAAGCGGCTAACATTCTCCTTTCCCTTCCTCCCCCACAACAAACACTCTGTGAGGTGAGTGGGGCTGAGAGACTTCAAAGAAGTGTGACTGGCCCAAGGTCACCCAGCAGCTGCATGTGGAGGAGCGGAGACGCAAACCCGGTTCCCCAGATTACCGCTCTTAACCACTACACCACACTGGCTCTCAATTCAAATCCCACTGAATTCAGTGGGGCTAACTCCCTAGTAAATCTTCTTCTTCAACGGTCACTTGTAGCCAAGTAAGATTGTCTTCCATGAACACGGTCTTAACAGAGAGTCTGTAAGTGACTGTGGAGGCCAAAGTAAATATGCATAAAAGGGCAGCCTGAACGGTGTAGAGCAGAAAAGCAAGGTGAGAACAGAAGGAGGGGACTGAAACTGCTGAGTTGGAAAGTAATTAAATCAATCTTACAATTCTAAGTGAAGGAGCAGAGGGAGGAACACTAAATTGGCTAGTCTGCTTACACTGGACTCTATCAGACCAACCTGCCCCACAAAAGATGCACAAGCACCTGCTGTTCACTTGCCTCTTTACAGATGAAAACAAATATAGCTTTGGTAGATCAGGCCACGGGTCCATCAAGTCCAGGATCCTATTTCCAATAATGGCCAGATAGCCTCTGGGAAGCCCATCAGTAGAGCATGAAAGCAACAGATCCCTTTTTGTTTATTCCCAGCACCTGGTATTCAGAGATGTAAGGCAGAGATGATGGGAAACCTGTGGCCCTCCGGATGTTTTTGGACTCTCATCAGTCCCAGCCAACATAACCAATGGGCAAGGATTATGGGAAATGCTTTCCAACATGTCAGACTAACCTGAGTCATGTCAGACTAACCTGATCTCGTTTTTTGACAGAATTACAACCCTGGTAGATGAAGGGAACGCAGTGGATGTAGCCTACCTTGATTTCAGCAAGGCATTTGACAAGGTGCCCCATGATATTCTTGTAAAGAAGCTGGTAAAATGCGGACTTGACTATGCTACCACTCAGTAGATTTGTAACTGGCTGACTGACCGAACCCAAAGGGTGCTCATCAATGGTTCCTCTTCATCCTGGAGAAGAGTGACTAGTGGGGTGCCACAGGGTTCTGTCTTGGGCCCGGTCTTATTCAACATCTTTATCAACGACTTGGGTGATGGACTCAAGGGCATCCTGATCAAATTTGCAGATGACACCAAACTGGGAGGGGTGGCTAACACCCCAGAGGACAGGATCACACTTCAAAACGACCTTGACAGATTAGAGAACTGGGCCAAAACAAACAAAATGAATTTTAACAGGGAGAAATGTAAAGTATTGCACTTGGGCAAAAAAAATGAGAGGCACAAATACAAGATGGGTGACACCTGGCTTGAGAGCAGTACATGTGAAAAGGATCTAGGAGTCTTGGTTGACCACAAACTTGACATGAGCCAACAGTGTGACGCGGCAGCTAAAAAAGCCAATGCAATTCTGGGCTGCATCAATAGGAGTATAGCATCTAGATCAAGGGAAGTAATAGTGCCACTGTATTCTGCTCTGGTCAGACCTCACCTGGAGTACTGTATCCAGTTCTGGGCACCACAGTTCAAGAAGGACACTGACAAACTGGAACGTGTCCAGAGGAGGGCAACCAAAATGGTCAAAGGCCTGGAAACGATGCCTTATGAGGAACGGCTAAGGGAGCTGGGCATGTTTAGCCTGGAGAAGAGGAGGTTAAGGGGTGATATGATAGCCATGTTCAAATATATAAAAGGAAGTCACATAGAGGAGGGAGAAAGGTTGTTTTCTGCTGCTCCAGAGAAGCGGACACGGAGCAATGGATCCAAACTACAAGAAAGAAGATTCCACCTAAACATTAGGAAGAACTTCCTGACAGTAAGAGCTGTTCGACAGTGGAATTTGCTGCCAAGGAGTGTGGTGGAGTCTCCTTCTTTGGAGGTCTTTAAGCAGAGGCTTGACAACCATATGTCAGGAGTGCTCTGATGGTGTTTCCTGCTTGGCAGGGGGTTGGACTCGATGGCCCTTGTGGTCTCTTCCAACTCTATGATTCTATGATTCTATGATCTTCTGGATGGCCACAGCTTTGCCATCCCTTTGAAAACAGGTGCTCCATTAAGTTATCATGCTAACAGCAGTTGACAGACGTATTTTCCATTTGCAGAACTGATTATCTGCTGCTGCTACATTCATGTACAACTGGCTTTTGCTAAATAAAGAATTCAGCACTTACTCTCATTTGAGGTTTTGTTTTGTTTTTATACCACCCTTCATCTGAGAATCACAGGGCAGTTTACAATATAAAAACACTAAAATACATACCATAGTAAAAAAAAAGCCAAAAAACCAGTAACCTACACACACAGTTTAAAAGTCCATAGATGGTTTAATTAGCCAAAGGCTTGCAAGAAGAGAAATGTTTTTTCCTGGCACAAGACATCTCTGGATTATAGACAAAGTAGATTAACACTACAATTCTAAACACATTTACCAGGAAGTAACCCCCTTTAAGCCCATAGACACTTACTGCTGAGTAAAGATACACAGGACTGTACCACAAGTTATTTGGGCTCCATTTTTAACATGAAAAAGAAAACCAATCTACCTGATAATCAGCTGGTCCAGGAGTAGTAAAAGCTTCTCTCTTGACTAAATATAAGAGTCTAGGAACTGAAGAACCAAATGCTCCCTTTTTCTTTTTTTCCATGTCAGCCTTTTTAAGACTTTCTGTTGCAATGCTATGGTTGAGAATATTATAGAATGCAGGACCTGCACAGCATACAAGGAAATTCTGTAAGCATAATAGCTGTTACTTAATTCTTTTACCACAGACAATTAAGTTAAAACGGGAATTGTAGGAGAAAGGGCAAAAGTGCTATACAAAAATAAAACAATACGCTTATATACACATACACATATAGCACAGCACTATAACTACTTTGGATTGTAAAAGAAAACCCACATCTTTGCCAGGTAAGAAGGTCCACATTTAACAGACTGAGGACACGATCAAATGTTGTACTCAGCAAAGAGAGGCTTATGCTGAAGATAAATGGTAGGCCACATTTCTTGCAGATTAGAGGACGAAAGCAAAGACTTCTGTTCAAGGACAGAGTACAAGGAGAGGTGCAATAGAAGGGAAATGAGCAGAATGAGAAATACATCATTAGCATGTTTTCATGGTAGGCAGCTCAAAAATATACAAAGGGTCACCAAACATTATACCCTTTGATACATTTCAGGTTATTTACATTTGCTTTCATACAATGTTTTTAAAAAGGACGAATCTAGAAATCATTGGGAAAACCGTTCATTCATACTAGATTCCACCCTTCCCCTAGTTTCTGCAAGTATCTCATTCAGTTGTTTTGTTTATACACAGCTCACTCAAAGTGCTCTGAGAGAGAGAGAGGGAGCACTCTTGGGAATACCATTAATAGGTACTATTTGTCTTAGGAAGTGACTGTCATATTATAGTGCTGATGACCTCTAGAATCTTAGGATAACTAGCGTGATCTGCAACACAAGGATAAATAGCTTTTTCTGACTGTCAACAAGGGTGACCTTGTCAGATGTGAAGGAATACGCGGGGAACTCAATGGAAACTGTGGTATATATTTACAATAAAGACCCACTTCTTTGAATGGCAAGAAAATATTCATAAATTATATATCTGTAAAACTCTACAGCTATAATACTATGTGCTCTTATTTAAAAGTTAGTCTCAGTGAGCTGAATTGTGGTAGTTCTGCTTTAGCATACTGTTATGCACCTCCCATTTCCTTGAGTTGTAGAAATAACTCAACGGGTTGTGTTACAGAGCTTAGTTTCCTTTGGTGGAGAGACAGTATTAGAGACATGGTGTCTTTCTACAAGCATACAAGTGGAGCCCAGCTGAAGCTACAGTAGGTAATACAACAACTAATCCTGTTTTGACTTCCCAAGAAGCAACAGCACTCAAAGACAGCTTCTTTTTTGGTCAACCTCACTTAAACTTTCTACCTCTGTCTCAATGCGTATTGTACAATTCCGTTTCTAGCTGTTTCAGTTTCTAGCAACCAACCCTTGCTGTGTATGGGAGAAACTGAAGCCTAAAATATAGACCATCAAGCTCTTTGGTTAAGTTCCTGATCACCTGCTATGGTAACACAGGGAAAACAATAGCAATAAGCCCATTCACAATCATCAAAACCATCTAAACTCCAAGCAACTTTCTGTCACTTTATGTGCTTTCATTAATGTGTTTCTAATAAAACTGCTAAGCTTGTATTTGGGTAGGCAGAGGGAAGCAAGGCTATTATTTAACTATATGATTTAGCAAATACTGCCAAAAGGACAGTTCAAACAATACTGATATTAGAAGTATACATATGACTTCCAAATCCATCAGTGACACAAACATTGCTTATATGCTGATATTTGAACAAGCATTGTAATATAGCTGGAGTCAGCAGCACAAGAAAAACGTTCACATGCAACCCATTTTGCCCCATTCTCATTTTTTGCATAAAAAACTTTTTATTATCATTTACACAACCATTACACAATGAGATGACTTTGTAGTCACCTCTTCCGAGACATCCATGTATGTCCTGACCTCATCTTATTTGTATTGGAAAACAACCCATATTTGAAAGTCATGGTTTCTGAAGTCCTCTCGAAAACAAGGCATAATCTTATTGTATCCTGAACTATTTGAGACTGGGCTTTACTACTCAGATTCAGTTTTACAATTCAGCTCCACATCATTATGTACATTAATCACTATGCGGAATGTATTGTTTTGTAATACAAATCCAGGTCCATTGCTATCTTCACTGATTATTTCTCCTGAACCACATGAACTTAACACCAGACAAATACTTCCTTTCAGCAGAGAACTCAGGTGGTTGGTTGCTTATCGGCTGGGAAGTGAAATAAGACCACCCAAACGCTTAGAAGATTTCCTAGGTATCCTGAAATAAATAAGTGTATAACTTAAAAGAAAAATGCTTAACCCCAAACCTGCCTAGCATGCAGAAAGTGCTAAGGAAGAAGTTAAGTGGAGAGCAGGGACATAAGATGGAGGCGTCAAAGAAAGATGTAACTGATCTGCTTAAGACCCTGGCAGTTTCATATTGGAGTGGGGATTCGCATTATGGAGATATAGACCATGTATGAAGGGAAAAGGCTATACAGTGGTACCTCAGGTTACATACACTTCAGGTTACATACGCTTCAGGTTACAGACTCCGCTAACCCAGAAATAGTACCTCAGGTTAAGAACTTTGCTTCAGGATGAGAACAGAAATCGTGCTCTGGCGGCGCAGCAGGAGGCCCCATTAGCTAAAGTGGTGCTTCAGGTTAAGAACAGTTTCAGGTTAAGTACGGACCTCCGGAACGAATTAAGTACTTAACCCGAGGTATCACTGTACTCTCTGCATTAATAAGGAATGCTTCAGGAGTAAAAAAAGGAAGAGGGACACTTTTCTCTTTCTCACTCTCCAGAAACATCACAATATATAAATAAGGAAAATGCTGAAGTTTCCCTTTATGCCCTCTGGAAAAGCCATAGCACATACACACAATGGAGGCCTGAACAGCACCTCAAGGTTCCTGCTGGAGGCTGCCTGGAGCACTCCTCTTAGAGGATGGAGATATTTTGCTCCTTGTCCCACTTGTTTACATTAATTACTGCAAACCTGGACTTTTTCGCAGCCTGTGGTCTTGGGTGAATCGAACAGCTGTATTGCCAAATGGAATGTTTTTTGTTTGAGTCGCTTTCTTCAAGGACTCAAGAGCGTAGCGAGTTTCATTATATGTGCCAGGAGCTGGGGCAGTTGATTTCACAGGTGCAAATCTCTACAGAAACACAAGAGAAAATAAATCAATGACAAGCAATCCCTTCAAATAGCTATGTAGGTAGAAAGATCCCAACTTTGTCTAAAAACAGCTTTCTCAATCTAATAGCAATAAACTAAAAGGACATATTTTATTGTCTTACATTGAGTCAAACCATTCGTCTATCTTCTTTATTTTAATCAATATTTTTCCTGTTTTCAAAACTAAACAAGGTGTATCTCCTCAAAGATCCCAGCAGAGCTCTTTTCCAGTGCTGCAACTGAGTGCTTTTTAACTGCGCCTGAATCTGAGACCTTTCCGCATTCAAAGCATGCACTCTGTGATGGGAATTCTGGCCATCCTTAAAAATAAAGGTAGCATTTATAAATTGACAAGTTAACTTGTGATTTATATATCACAAGTTTTATTGATGGAATCATTTCCTGACTGCGAGTGGCTTATGTAGTGCTCGCTAGAAAGTCACTGGTGTATAATATAAAACATATTTTAATATACTTGTCAGAGCTTTGCAAGCCAGATATTGAGAGCAACAAGCAACAAGATGCATCTTGTCTGTTGCTTGACTTTAGTTGGTTATGCTGATTTAACCAAATGAATAGTCAAGGCTCTTAATAGGTAACATTCTGCAGAGGAGCAACATCTGAGCTTCAATACTCTGAAGAGGCAGAAAAAGGATGGGCAATATGTTGATGCAATCACATTTTCCCCCAGAATTTTCTTTTATGCTACTGTATTAGAAATGAGTATGGCTATCCTGAATGCTGTGCATGGGCCGATAACATTATGCCATTGCATAATGTTACCAGAGGCTAAATAAGGTGCTGGTGGTCCTTGATGGCCAGGAATCTGGAATGCCAAATCTCTATGAGCAGGGTAGGCCCAAGACATTTTTGCTGCCTAGGGCAAAGGGCAAGATGGTAGTCCCTCACCAATTTCATGAACAGAAGCTGTCTAGATTGGCAGACGAATCTTACTGATGGCATCCTCCACAATACCAATGGTCAGCAAGGCAGCTTGCAGGGGGCACACACAGCTCTGTTCTACAACTTCTTGCCTGCCCCACATTTGCCACCCGAAGCAACTGCTTCACATCTGGTGCCTAATGGTAGGCCCAGTCCTCTGTCTGAGTATGGAGGAGTAATTTAAATTTGGGGATAGAAAGAAAAGAGGCAGAGGAAGCTTGAGATTTTAAACTAGGATAAAAGAAGCATATCTGGTGCTGTACAGTGCTGTACTTTGGAAATTTGTTGCAAGATTAGTATTTATGGTACCTGCTGTAGGAGTGTACATGCTTCCACTATCAGTGTTTATATACCGGTAAAAATTATCACAATGGTACCAGAAATCTCCACCATGCTCTCCTATGCAAAGGAAATAAATTCATGTACAGTGGTACCTTGGTTCTCAAACACCTTGGTACTTGAACATTTCGGCTCCCAGACACTGAAAACCCAGAAGTAAGTGTTCTGGTTTTCAAGCGTTTTTCGGAAGCCGAATGTCTGGTGCAGCTGTTAGCTATTGTTTCCAGGGTGCCTGCACCAATCAGAAGCCGCGCCTTGGTTTTTGAACATTTCAGAAGTCGAACGGACTTACGGAATGGATTACATTTGAGAGCGAAGGTACCACTGTAATGCCATCCCTGGAACTTCTCACTGCTCAGATAAGTGGGGTAAATGTAACAATATTATGGAAAATGAAAAAGAAAGAAAAAGAGCTATATTACTTCTTACTTGGGCAAGTGAAAGGAAAGGAGCACTTCGTGTTGCACTAACTGGCTTCTCAAACTGACTTCTTATGTAATACTGGCCAGGACCTGGAACACCCTGCAAAACAGTTATAACAACTATGACTGAAATAGCATAAAATACAGCACGCACTTTGTATTGCAGGCTGTGTTAACTCTGGAACAAGAGGAGTGACAGAAAGGTGGAATATAAATACATTAAATAATTGTGATAAAAGGCTTCCCTTTAAGAATCTTAACGAAAGAGAAAACCCTGAGAAAACCACAGAACATAGAACTCAAATCACAGAAATAATCCAAAGCTTTCAAAAGTATAATGTTTTAGGCAATTATGTGAATCAGCTTTATAGTCACATTTTGAGGAGATATGGGATGTTTCTTTTCACTATTGAGATTCTGAAAAATTGTGGCCAAGGGCAAAGATCAAACAGCACAGTGAATGAGCAATGAAAGATCCTTCCTTCCACCATGCATACAGCTTCCAGTGTCAACCAAGACCCTGAAATAACAACAGATTGCAGAGAAGCCAGTCCATAGCTTCCTTCCTCTCAACCGAGAAAGATCATCCACATTGCAAAATGTCAGGCCCTTTTTTCAGCTGGAACTCACTGGAACTCAGTTCTGACACCTCTAAGGTAGGTTCCATTGCAATTATAAGAGAGTAAAGGAGGTGTTCATGGAGAGTTCTGGCACCTCTTTTTCTAGAAAAATAGCACTGCTTTCAGTTTAGGCTATCAACGTAGCGGCAGAAGGAAGGTATTTCAGTGCCAAGAATGCTTCATTCGACCTACACCACTTTTGAATGCACAAACAGGATTCTGCAACACCAAAATATTTTGCTTTCAAATTGTGAAACACAACAACTATGTATACATCCCCAACCGTTTTTTCCTGGTGTGCAGGAGGGAACATAACTGGAAAGAGGTGAAGTGCAACATAAATAGGATCTATTGTAAGGGTAAGGAAGTGTGGAAATCCATATGTTGCTGTACCTCCATCGTCCGTGAACATGGGGCTGGGACTACAGGGAGTTAGCATCTAACCACATCCAATTCTCCACCCTAGTCTATGCCAGGGACGCGGGTGGCGCTGTGGGTTAAACCACAGAGCCTAGGACTTGCTGATCAGAAGGTCGGCGGTTCGAATCCCCGCGACGGGGTGAGCTCCCATTGCTCAGTCCCAGCTCCTACCCACCTAGCAGTTTGAAAGCACGTCAAAGTACAAGCAGATAAATAGGTACCGCTCTGGCGGGAAGGTAAACAGCGTTTCCGTGCGCTGCTCTGGTTCGCCAGAAGCGGCTTAGTCATGCTGGCCACATGACCCAGAAGCTGTACGCCGGCTCCCTTTGCCAATAAAGCGAGATGAGCGCCGCAACCCCAGAGTTGGTCACGACTGGACCTGACGGTCAGGGGTCCCTTTACCTTTTACTATATGCCACTCAGTCTTAAAGTAGGAAATGCTCTGCAAAGGGGCCACTGGGGCAGGACTCGAGGGCCATTTGTCTTGGATCTCAAGGTCAAAGGAGGCTCAGATTTAGACTATTATTAATACTTTGGCGTTTGATAAGTTTTGCAATTTGTCCTTATGCACATCAGATGAAATGTGACACACACACACTCAGCTTAGAGCTGCAAAATTAAGGGAAAAAGAGATGTCATTTGGTAGTAGACATACTTTTATGTTAAATGATATCTGTCTCGCTCTTTTTCTTGGTGCTTTATTTTGTTTGTGTGGGACTTAATTTTTAAATTATTATTATAGCTAGAGGGGCTCAAAAGACGAGAGTCGCCTGGGTGCCTATGGGCCTCTGAGAAGGCCTGACTCTGTGCACACAATGAAATGTCCAGTTGCTCCAATTATAGAAGAGTATGAGGCAGACTGCTCAGAGTTTCTTATATGCATCAGATTTTCAAGACCAATGGTCAGGAAGCAACGAGGCAGCCTGGACAGGTAGTCTAAAGGCAAGTGTGCAGTCAGGGCCCCATGGAGATTCGAATTACACTCCCACTGCCCCACATAGGCAATGGAAATTGAAATATAATCATCATTCCTTTTTCAAAATGAGCCCAAAAGGTAAAGGCTGGAGTATTTATGAAAATGTATCTCATTAAGTATACTTGCTCTTGTTCAATGAAGTGCCATAAAACAAATTTAAATACACTTTAAAATAAATGCTTATTAACCTAAAGTGCATTCCATATGGTTCTTATCTCAACCGGGCTTTCAGCTAAATGGCTAGAATACCAAGGCTCTAAGAGAAAATAGGTCTCTCATAGCAGAAGGTTGCATTGAATTAATGAGGGAGGCACAGATGTAGAAATACTTTTGCTGACCAATTTCCAGTGCTTGATTGGCTAATGCTTAATGCAAGTCTTCCATCTTACAACAGACCAAAGATTTTGTATTGGCAGTACTAATTTGCATAATTGCAACATAAATTTTAGTTAACTCAAGGCTCAAGTACATCCTGTGTTTTAATAAAGCAAATAAGTGCACTCAGTATAGACAAAACTGAACTAATTAAATCTTAAAAGACTTAATTCAGTTTAAAATGGTAAATGGTAAGTTATGTAGTAAAGATTGAAAAATACCTTAGCAATCGATCAATAATATGTAAGGGGCAGGGTGACTTGGATATCTGCATTATGAACACTTTGTGGCCCCAAATAATAATAATTAAAAAGAATAAGACTGTATTTCACTGGGGAAAATATATCAATTGTCCTAGTTTATGCTGGCAAACCAGATAATGAGATGCTGATATATCAGCATGAAGTTCTGCTTTCTGCCTTATTATTTCCTTAAGCTTAAATAAGTGCAGAAACAGTACCTTTGTAAACTCTCTGCCCAGTAAATATATATGAAGGTTCTTATACTAGATATTTGCTAGCATTACTATGTGCAGGGTTAGAGGAACAAACTTATGGGTCTGTCTTAGAGTCTCAATAGTCATTTTAACTTCTGGAGAGAAGGAGTGCAGCTACTAATGTATAGATTTTACTAAAGCAATTGCAAATTGTACTGGAGAAGTTATAAATATTCATAAAGAAATTAGCATCAAAGTAAGATTAATTCTAAGAGAACTCACCTACTGAAAATCCCATCAGCAGATAAATATTTTATACTTCTTAAGAAGTCTCTCTTCTTGTTCACTAATGCAACTTGATTAGTATTAACCTTTCACTGTTGTGACATCCTTTTCCCTCCCATTTAAACTCATCTCAAAACTTCCTGAAAGCACACTCTTAATACTGCACGACCATTGCTATTTGTTATCTTCCAAAAGGCATTTAACTTGAAAAGACGACCAGAACACGACCCAGTTCAGCATAACATGGAGTTTAAAAGTGAGCTCACGAAGTCAAACACAGTCCTATTTAATCTCAGAAAGGGAACCCTTTCAATAAATTAAGAGAATACAGTTACAAGGAAATTCAAAGAGCTCCATTAAAGAAACTCAACTACCTTCAGGAGATTAGAATCACAGAATTGTAGAGTCCCAAGGGTCATCTTGCCCAACACAATGCAATGCAGGAATCTTAACTAAAGCACCCATGACAGATAGCTTATTCAACCTCTGCTTAAAAACATCCAAGGAATGAGAGTTGTCCACCACCTTCCAAGAGAGTCCGCTCCACTGTACAACAGCTCTTACCATCAGAAAGTTCTTCTTGATATTCAGTCGGAATCTCATTCCAGCAGAAGAAAACAAGCTTGCTCCATCTTCCTTGTGACAGCCCTTTAGATATTTGAAGATGGCTGTCACATCTTCTCTCAGTCTCCTCTTTTCCAGGCTAAACATATCCAAGTCCCTCAATCATTCCTTGTTAAGCTTGGTTTCCAGACCCTTGATAATCTTGGTTACCCTCCTCTGCACACATCCTATGTTGTCAATCTTCTTAAATTGTAGTGCCCCAAACTGGACACAGTATTCCAGGTTGCATCTGACCAAAGCAGAATAGAACAGTTCTATTGCTTCCCTTGATCAGGACACTATACATCTGTTGATGCAGCCTAGAATAGCATCAGGTTTGTTTGTTCTTTGCTGTAGCATCACACTGTTGACTCATGTTAAGCTTGTGGTCTACAAAGACCCCTGGATCATTTTCACACCTGGATCATTTTCAAGCCAGGTGTCCCCCATCTTATATTTGTGACGCGGTTCTTCCTGCATAAATGCAGAACCTTAAATTTGTCCCTACTGAAATTGATTTTGTTAGTTTTGGCCCAATTCTCCAATCTGTTAAGGTCATCGAATCCATATTCTGTCTTCTGCAGCATTAGCTTACCCCTCCCAGTTTGGTGTCATCTGCAAATTTGATGAGCATCCCCTCAATTCCTTCACCCAAGTCATTTATAAAGTCACTTAAAACCATGATATTTAAAACTACCATTAATGGCTCAAATACAATTCATACATCAGAGAGAGAAAATGCACTCCCAAAGGATGCCTGCCAAGGAAGAGGAAAGTAAGTAATTTTCTTATCAAAAAGGGTAGGGCATATTGGGGTTCAGAGACAAAACTGCCCCTAGTTTCTTCGGAGGAGCAGGCTTTGCTTCCCACGAACAACTTTGTCCTTCCATAGCCAGTGTGGTGTAGTGGTTAAGAGTGGTGGACTCGTAATCTGGTGAACCGGGTTCGATTCCCCGCTCCTCCACATGCAAGCTGCTGGGTGACCTTGGGCTACTCACACTTCTTTGAAGTCTCTCAACCTCACTCACCTCACAGAGTGTTTGTTGTGGGGGAGGAAGGGAAAGGAGAATGTTAGCCGCTTTGAGACTCCATAGGGTAGTGATAAAGCGGGATACCAAATCCAAACTCCTCCTCCTCCTCCCAGACCTCAGTGGAAACCACCAAGAACCAGACATGCCCATTCACCTACATAGTCACCACAAAGTATTGCTCAGTCATAGTAACAAACATAAGTAATAGTTTGCCAAGTACTACCGCCTGAACATCTAATTACAAATCTGGGGTATGAAGGTATCACCAGCTGTGGCAATAGCAACTTCATGCAGCCCACCATGGGGAACAAACAGGGATCCGGTCACATCACCTTCAATCTTCCCCTCTCTCAA